CAAACAAAAGCGGAGGCGCAGCTCTGTTCTTTAAAAATGTTGTTGTTGTTGTTGTGGGGTTCTCCTGCTGTTGTTGTGGGGTTCTCCTGCTCACTAGTTCCAATATTATATTATTAAATGACGGTAGCCCTACTCATTTCTCTACTAGATCCACGTTCACACACGTTGATCTCTCTTTTGTATCACCGGATTTATCACCACACATGCTATGGAAAGTAAATTCCAATCTACATGGTAGCGATCATTTCCCGATTCATATTACTTACCAACAACCAAATCGTCAACACCCCAACTGTAATGAAACACTCTTCAATATTGGAAAAGCTAATTGGTATAAATACCAAAATTACCTGGAAAATATTGCTACCAGAAATCTTTCCTCCAACATTAATAAAGAAGCTGCATGGTTACAAAGAACAATTAGATCTGCTGCTAACTTTTCCATACCAATTTTTAAAAATAAGAAACACAGATATACATACTGGTGGTCAGATGAACTCAAAGCCTTGCGGGAATCCAAACAACGTCTATTTAATTATTTCAAACGACATCCTCCTATGGATAACAGACTATCCTATAAAAAAGCTAATGCCCTTTTTAAATATAAATGTAAACAAGCTAAGCGAGCTTCCTTTGCGACTTTCACTAAACAAATTAATCCAACTTACCCCATTTCTAAAATATACGTAAACTAAGTGGAGCAAATACAAATAATAAAATCCGTTATGTTGATCACAACAATGAAATTATGTCAAATCCAATTGACATCGCAAACCTTTTTGCTAAAACTTGGTCTCATCAATCAAGTGATGTCAACTTTGAAAATGAATTTGAACGCAGAAAACAAAGCACCAATATCCACATTAACTATCAGCTAGATAATTAATGAAAGATCTTAGAAGATAACAATGTTTGAAATTAAAACAACTTTATTTACATTAAAAGGTAAAACACCAGGATTCGACAAGATTTCATACCCATTGTTAAAGCAATTGCCTAATAAAACACTATCTAAATTACTTGATCTATACAACCTAATTTTTCGACCAATATCGCTTATACCTTGTGTGTCGAAATTACTCGAAAAAATAGTATCAACTAGAATTACATGGTTTCTTGTAAAAAAAACGTCTTAGCATTAATCAAGTTGCGTTTAAACCAAATAAAGGAACCATCGATGCTTTAACTTATATTGACCATTTAACTGCTTCTGCGCTTTCACATCACAGTCACATATCCATCATATCAGTTTATTTTAAAAAAATCATTTCACAGCTCAAGGAATGGAAATTTGGTAAGAAAATCATCAATTTTATTTACACTTTTCTATCTAATAGAAAGATAAAAGTTAAAGTAAACAATTGCTTTTTATCTATAGAAAACCTCTATAATGGTATTCCTCAAGGATCCCCACTATCTGTGATACTCTTTCAAATCGCCACTAACAAACTGAACAAAATTATAACCAATAATTTTTCAAACATATAATATATGCGGATGATTTATATATAATGTATAAGCACAAGCTAAACTCGAATATTCAACAGGAAATAAACTCTTTATTCATTCCTATAACTGAATGGTGCAACATTACTGGTGCTAAAATCTCATTCGAGACGACTAAATATTTACACGTATGCAAAAAAGATCATGTAATTCTACCAACATTGTCATCCAAGGAAATCAAATTAATAAGACAGAATCCTTGAAAATTCTTGGCTTAATTTTCAATAGCAATTTCACCTGGTCTTCTCATTTAGATCATATTAAAAAAACGTTATCAAAACGAATTAACATATTAAAATGCATAGCTGGTAAAATTGGCAACGCTCATCCCAATACATTAATAAATATTATTCGCAGTGTAATCCTGTCAACTATAGAATATGGTCTAACAATCTACGGTAAAGCTCCAAACACACAATTAAGAAAAATCGAAACAATCTATCACCAATCCATAAGAATTGCCCTTGGCGCTATAAAAACTACTCCTATTAAGAATTTATTTGCTGAAGCCGGTTTACACACAATTGTCCAAAGATATACAACGCTCACAACAAATTTAATAATTAAAATTATATTTCCATCAGAACAAAACCTTATTTGTCGATTATCAAATCTGCTATCGAAACTCCCAATGCGCTTTCCTTCAACGATCCACAACTCACTTAAATTCGCTTCCGATATTGGTTTGAACTTAAAACAGCAAAAAGCTTATACTCCCACTGAACCACCATGGAAATTGAAAAAGGATAGTTTTATTACAGATCTTATGACCCTACCTAAAGAATCTACATCTAATTCTATATACTTTTCACTTTTTAATGAAATTTCTACAATATACAAAAACAAAATTTGGAACCTTTTGTATACAGATGGGTAAAAACAGACTATTCTACAACATTTGCAGTAACATATAAAACACTAAAGGTCGAATTCCTTGCTAGTTTAAGCCTTGAATGCTCAATTTTTACTGCAGAATCAACTGCTATTTATTATACCCTCAATAAATATAAAAATCTCCAAGGCAAATACATTATTTGTTCAGACTCAAAATCTGCCATAGCTGCCACCCAAAACTTAAAAAACAAAAATACAACAATCTTCAAAATAAGAGATATTTTAATAAAATACCCCACTAAATAAATGTGGATTCCGGGCCACTCTGGTGTTAAAGGAAACTTATTAGCTGACGAAGCAGCAAAATTTGCTTCTTCCGCTCCAATATTTTCATATTCCGCAACAAATAAGTACGATATCAAAAAGTCAATATCAACATTCATTGAAGAATGGGCCAACACCAAAATTGAAGAATGGGCCAACTACCAACATGTTTACAAAACTTTCAATCCAGATAAAACTCCACCAATATATCCGAATGAAGCAAAAAAAAAAAATGGATCTGCAAAAATATATTAAATTAAGATTAGGACATACCGATTAACTGAACAACATTTATTTAACAACTCTAACCACAACCATTGCCATTTTTGGAATACATCAATTCTAAACACAGAACATTTAATTTTCTCCTGTAATTTTTTAAAACAAACTCAAATATGTCTTTTTAGAAAAATCTGCTTAGTAGATCTCCTAAAACCTGTAAATATAGAAAATATAAAAAAAGTAATCTTACTATTCTCATTTAAAAACTATTAGGTCAAAAGCCATAGTTGTTAGAATATATGTAAAAAACAATTTTTTGTATTCATAATTCATTATGATTACAATGTTATAAATAAAATAAAATAAATAATAAGTTATCAGAAATTCCTGGTCCCAAAATATAAGCTTTGAAAAAAAAATCATATATGTGCTATTCAAGTGGCGAGGAGTGTATACATATTTACTATAAAAAATATATATAAAATTTATTGTTTATCGAAATTAGCTTTATATTGCCAATCAGGCTCACAACGGTTATGTTATGCCTGTTATAGATATATACATATGTATGCTCAGCTCTTATTTTTTTTCCACAAAACTGTATTGCTATAAAATATGTAATTATATACTTATGTATATCTATTAAATAAAAAAATACTCGGAAACTTTCAATTGATTAAACACCTGATAATTGTATTTCATTGATTTACACTTGTTCTAAAAATCTAAACTATTTTTTATATTGGAATGGCCTCATTATTTTCCTTTATAACGCAAATAACTTCATAGTTTCACGCTATGAGAATATGATTTTTGCACATTGCAATTGAATAATACTTAACACGAGTCATTTTAACAATGAAACAAAAAATTTCAAAAAGTAATTTAAAAATAATTTGAAACATATAAATATTACTTTTAATGGAATTAATGTTGACTTTGTTGACACAATGAAGTGCTTGGGTGTAACATTAGACAGTTGCTTAAATTTTGGGCACCATATATCGGACGTTTCTGCTAAAGTCTTTTGTGTATTGCGTACTTTATATAATTTAGATTGTCACTTACCACTACGGGTAAGAATCAATCTAGCCCAATCACTTCTAATGACACATATTCGGTGTTGTTTAGAGATATACAGTGGAACAACTGGAAGTCAAATTAGGAGTCTCCAGCTTGTATTTAATCGAATAATAAGATACGTATTTAGGCTTAATATAAGAGATCGTGTATCCGGTTATGCAACGCGATTTTTATCCTGCTCATTTAGAAATTTTATTAATGTACATAATTTGACAATAATGTATCGCATAATGAAAGATAAATCACCAGAGGCTCTTTTTAAATGCTTTAATTTATCGTAGTCTACGCGAAATCCTCATGTATTACTGCCCCGAATATCAAATTCCTCATTTGAGAGATCATTTTTAATAAGAACATCAAGGTTATGGAATTCGCTTCCCATTGAATTAAATAATTTCAATCTTTCCATTCCAGTTATTAAAAAGAAATACTTGGAGAATTTTATGTAGCTAATTTCCAGCATAAAGAATTTATAAAATTGTAAACTCATATATATAAATGTATATAATTATATTATACATAGTTGTACATACATTACCAATTATAATATATTAATCATATATGGCCCTTTAGGGCTCGTTTAAACAAAATGAAAATAAATAAAAAAAAAACCCCGACGAAATTAACTGGAATTCTAAAAATGCAAAATACTTTATTGACCTGCTAATTCTGATGAAAAATAATAAAATGCAACAACAAATGTACCAAAATTTGTATTTTAATATTTTTTCTTGGTTTTCCATTTTACACAATCTGTATTTTTAATTGGAAAAAATAAATTTACTATTACAAATTTTTTCGAATTTTATTTATGACAAAAATAAAAATTCTCTTAAGAAAAGGTAGGCAAAAAACTTAGTTGATTTACTGTATATGAATAACAGTGAAATCAAAACAATTTAGAAATTGTAAAGTGGGATTAATTCTTCTTTTTTGAAAAAAAAAAAAAAAAAAAAACAGTTTCAACATACGCATTAAGTATTCAAACTTGACAAACTAAATATCAATAATTTTATTTATTTTAATTTTAGGATATGGATTTTTCATTGTGCCGATTTGCCCTAAATGTTCACCTTAAGTGTTGACACAAAAATGTGGCCAATTTTATTCTACACCTCCCATATACCCTTTACAAAAAGCAAAGACTGAATTTATACTCGAAACTATTAAATCGTTTTACTGCCACGACAAAAATTCAAAACACTAAGTAATAATGAATTAATTGAATAGTATTTGAAAATAACTCATTGATTTCTATATGCGATTTCATAAGGAAATTATATCGCTACATCATTACCATTATTAAAAAGGGAGTGTTTGCGAAGCAATAATAAAACTTTTCAAGAAGTATTGTATATACATATATGCATTTTATTATACATATATATAATATTAAGCGTATAACTTTTAATTTATATATGTACATAAGGAATTATTTAGAAATATGACATTTGAAAATACGAATTGCTGTAAACACAAATCGAGTTCAGAACGTTGTAATCTGAAAGGATGTCACAGGAAACGAAAGCCTTTAATTGGTTTAGCCATTAGATTACTCCTTTACGGAGTGAATTGGCTGATATTTTGGTCTTCAACACATGGAGTAGTAATCGAGTGTTTAGCAGCACAACTTATAAATAATAGAAATTTTAATTCTACACAAACTCAAGTATTTTCATCTGGCGAAATAGTGGCCCAATTTACCCTCCCTCAGATATCTGTTGGTCATGCGGATGAACAAGCCGTTACTACGGCTGATGGATTGCCCGACTCCTCAACAGTTACTTCAAGTAGTGGAAATTTTTCAACAACGACTTCTTCAGTTGGATCTTCATCTTCTACAAATGCAAATGGTAGTTTACAAAATTATCTCACACATTTAGCGTACGATTATAAACGTAATGTTTTTTATGCGGGCGCAACAAACAAAATTTTACAATTAAATGAAAATCTAAGAGTATTATCTCAAGCTTTAACTGGTCCAAAAAATGATTCTCCTCAGTGCCATGCCAGCGGTTGTTCGGAAGATGTCGAGACTTCGCTTGTAAATAATCACAATAAAATTCTGATTGTTAGTTATTCTCAAGGGGATGGTATATTAATAGCATGTGGTAGTGTGCGTCAGGGTGCCTGTGATATATATAATTTAGCACGTTTTCCAAAAAATTCGCGTTTTATCGATATCCCTTTAGCGGCTAATGATGAATTTGCCTCGACTTATGCCTTTGTCGGCCCAGCAAAGTATTCCTGGAAAAAAGAAGACATTTTGTATGTCGGTACAACATTTACTAATGTTGGCGATTATAGACATGATGTGCCTGCAATATCGTCGAGACGTTTGGAAGATTTGAATTACGCCGAATTTGAAATCAAACAATCTATTATAAATATAGATGTTAAATACAGAGATCATTTTCTGGTCGACTATGTTTATGGGTTTAATTCATCAGAGTATGCATATTTCACTATAGTACAGAAGCGTTCCCACTTAGCTGAAGAGGCAGGATATGTTACACGCTTGGCGCGGATCTGTATTACGGACTCCAACTATGACAGTTATACAGAAATAACTATACAATGTTTAGCGACTCACAATAAAGTTGATTATAATATATTACGAGATGCTAAAATAACTGAAGCTGGTCAAAAGTTGGCTCAGCAAATGGGTATCAAAAAAGGCGATCATGTTTTGGTTGCCATATTTTCACCATCTAAAGAAATTACAAATCAGCCGGAAGATAAATCTGCTATGTGTATTTATAGTCTCAAAGAAATAGAGGAAGTATTCAACGAAAATATTCATCTTTGTTTTAATGGTACAATAAAGGACCGTAATTTGGGTTATATATCAGGTACCATTGATGATGGCCGCTGTCCAGGGGTAAGTTTATTTTTTTATTTTTCTTTCTTTATTATTAACAAAGTCTGCATTTATTGATTTTTTATTTTAAGACTACTGGCAATGTGTATAGCTTTTGTAATGTTGGACTGAAAATAAGTGGTGTTTCTCCAATTACTTCGAATGCATTATTTCACTTTGATAATGTTTCCATAACATCTGTAACAGCAACTACCACTGGACCACATTCCTTAGCGTTTCTCGGCACAGACAAGGGACAAATAAAAAAGGTTTTAATATCTGGACATAATCCTGGAGAATATGAAGAAATAATGGTAGATCCTGGAAACCAAATATTACAGGATACTATGATGTCACCAAAAAAAGATTTTCTTTATGTGCTATCTAAACGCAAGGTATTTATTTCTATTAAAAACCTGTGTAGAATTGAATAAGTTATAGAAAGTAAAAAAAAAAACAAAAGAAACATAAATTTATAAATGTGATGATACGATTTGTGTTTAAATTGGATAACGCTTACTCTTTTTAGCCAAATTAGGGGCATTATTTTAAACTGCATCTTCAAATTCATTTTCTAACTTTTTTTTAAATTAAAATTTTCTATACTGGTTTTTATTTATACTGAATATATACATTAGAGTGACCACAAAAAGTCGATGTAGGATCCTTGTTCGTCTGAACCCCACATAACGATTCCCCTTTAGGTTTAGGTTAAGAAGGGTTATACACCATAAAAAACGGTGCATTTCCACTCGGAGACCTTAAGTCCCATTGTGATTCCCTTCAAGGCGTGAGGATTCAAAAACAGAAAAACAAAATAAAAACACAAGTACAAAAACAAAAAAAAAAACATAAGGTAAAAATAATAGTTATAATTAACAAGTCTATACCCCAAAGAAGTAAAAAAAGTGAGGAAGGTAAAAAGGATAGATATAATTAACAAGTCTGTACCCCAAAGAATAAAGAGATAAGAGAGAAAATCTTCGTCCCTCTATAAAGCCCAGTCGAAGAAGTGACTAATGCCCTTGACAAAACCTAGTAAACTGCGCCATTCAGCCTGAGACTCTGTATGCTAGGACAGTGGCAAAATATATCCTCGATCGACTACACTTCCTCCTCATCCTCGCATAACCTACAATAATCCGGGGTATTACTGTCCCACTTACTGACAAAGACCCTAACTGAGCAGTGCCCCGTAAGCATCCCTATCAGAATTCTTAGACTGCGTCTATCCAGTCCTATGAGTATTTTGGTAGCTCCTATATCAAAATTTGGCCATAGTGTCTTTGATACATTGCAATCCAATCTACTATTCCAGGACTGGTTTATGATGTCACGGATTCTTTCGAAAATCAGCCTGTAATAGTTACAAATGGGTGGTTTTACCATCCTTTCTCTGTCATCTATATCAAGGCTCGAACCTAATCTAGCTAGTTCGTCCGCAACCTCATTACCATGCACATTACAGTGTCCCGGCACCCAACACAATCTAATGACAAACAGTCTCATAATGTCCCTAAGGGCGTTTCTGCAATCTACAAGCAGGCGCGAATGTACTGTGTGACAAGCCAATGCCCTGAGAGCTGTTTTTATTACATTCAAATAATTCAAAATATAGAAATTCAATAACAAATTCATATAATATTCCAGTAACAATTTCAATAAATTAATTAATATTTCACATCTACATATGTGTTTGCTCCTTGGTTGTCCTCAGAAATTGTAGGATTCGGCAAATCGATCCTAAACTCATTCATTAGTTGAATAATCCACAAAAGTTCTTGAGATGCTTTTGCAAGGACTATGAACTCAGCCTAAGTATACGATAACGTTACATTTGACTGCTTTCTACTAGCATAGCTAATAACAGCATCACCAAGCTTAAAGATGTAACCACTTATAGATTTGCGGTAATTTGGATTACCTGCCCAGTCAGCGTCTGCAAAACCTTTAAGCCCCAATTCAGGTTTAGAACCCACACACAATTTTGTAATTTGGGTTGTTTATTTTGCGTGGCAATATTGACACATCGACAACAATGTTAGGACGTGTATTATTCGATACGTATAAATTATTGTCTGGTAATAACTCATTTTCGTTCATCTTTAAATATCTGGGATCCATGGGTACAGACGACGTCTTTGCATCTTGAAGATTAAATTCATTCAAAACTCTGTTTATATACTGCTCTTGGGATAAGTAAAATATACAAGCATTACGTTTAACTTCAATTCCCAGATAAAGCTTCAAATCGCCTAAATCGGTAATTTCGAAATTTGATTTTTAAGTTCATACAACGTCCTTGATTTGTAGATCCGATTTCGAGGCAATTATAATGTCGTCTACGTAAATCAAAATGTATGTTATTAAATCACTATCACCTTTATCATACAAACAAGATTCGGCCTTTCCCCTTCTGAATCCCGAATCAATTAATATCTGATTGGTTCTACGATTCCAACACCGGGCCGACTGTTTCAAACCATACAAACTATGATTTAGTTTGCAGACAAGACTTTTTTGCCCAGGAGTAACAAAACCTTCCGGTTGAAATATATAAATATCTGAGTCCAACTCACCGTATAAAAACGCTGTCTTAATGTCTATGTGTTCGTGTTACTTGCAATGGCCAATAGACTTCGAAATGACGTCTGTTTCATGGCTGGTACAAAAATCTCGTCGTACTTCTGCGAATACCATTTTGCTACCAATCTTGCTCTATACTTTTTCACGCCATCGACATTATGTTTTGTCTTGAAGACCCATTTGCAGCCTGCTAATCTACCGTTTTGGGGAAGCTCCATCAAGTCCCACGTTTTGTTATGTCGCAATGCTTTCATCTCCTCCTCCATGGCATGCAACCAATTTTCACTGTCGGGTTTTAATATAGCCTCATTATAACTTACTGGATCATCACTAGTACAGGTCTTATATCCGTATTTCTTGGGGGGAACGCCTTTGTTTAATCTTGAAGAAGTTCTTGAAGTCACTCTGTACTTCGGAATCTGACTACGATAAAAATTCATCCTCTGATGAAAATCCATGAAAATCATCTGTGCTAACAATATCAATATTTTCCAGCTCTTCACTTTGCGATGGCTTGGCGTCACATTCAATTTCGAAAAATATACATTTACCATTTCGGTATCTAAATTACCACCGTCTTTCAAAGCAGCAACGGAAAGAAAATCATTAGATTCCAAAAACCTTACATCACGACTAATAATATCCTTATTAGTATTGCAGTCCAACAAACGAAAACAAAAACCAATTTTCTACGCTTTTGCTTGTTTATGTGCGCGTATCCAACAGCACCAAAAATACGAACATGACTCAAACTTGGAGGCCATAACTCAAATGGTGTCACATTGATTGCAGTTGACAATAAACAATTCTGTATGTAGTTTGCATTGTTGACATCCTCAGCCCAAAACGTGATATCTATGTCAGCGTCATACATCATACACCTGGCCATCTCCATCTAGCTTCGATTCTTCCTCTCGGCAACACCATTTTGCTCTGGTGTGTAAGCACAAGTTAATTTATTTTCAACAATTTGTACTTTACTTTAAAAAAATTTGAAACCGCGAGACTGGTCCCATAACCTGTTGTTAAGATCAATTTTATTAAAGAAGTAAAAGAAAATGGTGATTATACAATGAAATACGTTATAAAGACAGGTGCAATATTAAGTACTAAACATCAAATATAGTAGTATTACAAATGCATTTACAGATGTTCCAAAGAGTTATTTCATTGAATAATATAAATATAATACTAACAAGAGCAGCTTGACTATCAACATAAATTGTCACAACCGACCCCGGATCGACATGATTCCGTATCAGTTCCGTCGCTTTCCAGATCGCAAGGATCTTTGCTTGGAAGACACTACATTCGTCAGGGAGTCTGAAGGACCGTTTTATGTTGATATCAGCGATATAGACACCGGCACCCGTGCCGGTATCCATCTTGGACCCTTCAGTAAAACTGCACACCCACCAAACAGTCTATGGGATACAAGTCAATCATCGCTAGTTGGAAATTATATTAGAGGTGTTTCCCCGAAGTGCACAATCGTAATATCATAATCCTGATCAAGTAGACCTACTTCGTACAGAATTTTCTTATGGTCGCCATGCGAAGGTTTAACTAACGAAGACTTAGCAGATTCCTAGCCTCAACGCCCGCTACAAAATGCTCTATGGGTGGCTGGTATAGAATGATGTCCAAGGCCGCTTGAAGAGTGCTTTCAATGCACCAGTAATGCAAATAGAGGCACACCTTTGAGCTTTATTGATCATCTTTCTATAACTATCCTTTCTCAAGGCCTCCCACCAGACAATGCAACCATAAGTTAGAATAGGCCTGACAACCGATGTTTAAATCCAATTTATAATATCTGGTTGTAGACCTCAATTCTTCCCTATAGAATTCTTGCATGTATAGTAGGCAATGAGTCCCTTTTTCATTCTTTCCTGAGTATTTTCCTTCCATGACAGCTTGCTATCAAGGAAAGTTCCTAAATACTTAGCTTCCCTAGATAAACTTAGTTCGACGCTATCTATCTTTGGCAGCCTGAAGTTTTCTACCTTGTATCTTCTGGTAAATAGTACAAGTTCCGTCTTCCCAGGATTTATTCCTAATCCCCTATCCTTCGCCCATAACGAGAGTTCACCTAGTGCAGTTTCCATGATGTCACTGATCGTGTATAGAAATTTTCCCTTGACCAGTAGCACCACGTCATCCGCATAGGCAAAGATCTTCCTACCTTTAGATTCAAAAAGCCTTAGAATACCGTTAACCGCTAGTAGCCACAGAAGAGGAGTTAAGACCCCCCTCCCCTGCGGTGTCCCCCTGGTAACCCCTCTCCTAATGCAATGATCCACTAGGTTTGAGTTGATAATTCTGCTGCTAAGCGTGCAGACTATCCACTTCACTAGGAAGTCCACATTGGTCGTCAACCACATCCTCAGTTGAAAGACAACCCGGAAAATGTATTTCCATCAGTAGAGCTAGGGTCTCAGAGTTAGACTCAGTCCATGAGTTATCACTCCTTTGGATCCTTGGATAATATCCGTCGGAACCTTGATAACTCGTTGACATTGTCAATGGATTCACTGTACTGAGATCATGAAATCCTTTTAGCCCTTTTAAGATCAGCTTTGTATTTATTGAAACACAGTCAATTTCTTGACATGTAAGCTTGGCTCTATTGAGCAGTTTCCTGACAGTCGACCTTTGAATTCTAAGTTCCTTGGTCCACCACTTAGGTTGCTCTCTCTTGCCGGGAAAAGTAACTGGACAAGATAGCTCATAGCTTTCCTTAAGTAAGTCTGTGAACTTATTCACAATCTTCTCTAAATCAGTTGGCAACAAATACCGCAAGGCCTGT